AAGTGGAGGCGCCCGTCGGCGGCGGCACCCGAGGCCTCGACGTTGAACACCCTCCACTGATCGTTGCGGCGAAGGTTGCTGAGCACCTTCGAGACCTTCTTAGAGGCGAGGCCTGTGGCCCCGTTGAACTTGATGAGAAACCTGCGGGCAGGAGTCGGGGACGGACACGAAAGGGTGTATTGGTCTGCATCGAATCCGAGCTCAGATAGGAACGGCGCCAGCACATCGCGTACCTGTGACAAACCAACCATTTTGGTACACATCGCGACCACCACGGCAGGGTCTGTCTGGCGGTCGAAGTTGGCGGGCGGCGAGGGGGCCGCTTCCTGGCGCTTGGCCACATGAAGTCCTTCACGTAGCTCGGCAATCTCTGCTCGTAATTGGCGCAGCTGCTCTGTGTGTGAGTCCAGCTCGATGCTGAGAGTGGCAACCTTTCCTGTGACATCATCGATTTGTCGCTGCATCTTCCTTGACAGTTCGTCGAGCTGCGGTCGGAAAGTAGCCATCGCCTTCTGGTCAAGCTCTGCTGGTTGATTTCCATCTGCTTCTGCAGTACAGCCAAGGTCCGCAAGATGGGGGCGTTGCTGGATTTAACCGTGTCGCCCACAGTCGAGGCGACGAGACCTTCGAGCTCCGTGCGCAGCTCGCTGAACTGGGAGGCAACACCATCGGCGATGACAGCTTTGATATACTCGTCGGGGTAGTCGTGAGCAGCATGCCCAGCGGGTGCACGAGCGTGGTCAGAACTTGCAGGGGAGCCACCAGCATGCACAGGAGCACCGACAGCAGGCTGATCAGGAGAATGAGCCAGCTGATCCGAGCGCCCGAAGACGAGCGCGGCACCAGCAGCGGCAGCGCGGGAGGCCAGGCTGGCGACACCCTTGCCACTGCCTGAGGATCCCTTGCCCTCCTCGGTGCGCGGATACTTGGGCTCAGGCGAGCCCCGGACACGGCGGCCATCAGCACGATCATCGTCAGGGAAGGTGGGCATGTCTTCGATCTCCTGGGCGCACTGGGCCAGCGCCGCAGCATCGGGAAGCCCCATTGCGACTGGGACGTTCGTACGCACAGGAACGGGAAAAGCCTCCGTTTACCCGTGGGGGCGAGCGTCAGTACGAGGAACAATCTCTGCCAGACCGCCAAGGGTCTTGTCTGCCGCGGACTAGCGGTATCCACTTGTTCCACTGAGGAACTATGCATCTTGAGCCAAAATGGCTACGGAGGAGGAGGAGGAGGAGGAGGAAGAGAGGAGAGAGAAAGACGCATACGAGAAAGGGGGTGGAACACGGTATGCTGATTTTTCCTAAAAACGCAGGGGGCCCAAATCAGCCTGTAGCCTATATTCATATTTATTTATTTATATGTATTTAATACCTCCAGAAGCGATTCATTTCGGAACGTGCTGTGAGTCACGCGTCCCTAGGGATCCCAGAATGAGCGCCGAAAGCCTCCTGCAGGCGGAGCCTTGGAAGAAGAACGAAACAGAATCAGCAAATGATCAAAATGGGCAGGGAAACATCTCTGCTCTGACTACTTCTGAGTATGCCCCCTGTCGAGGGGAGATGCCCGACTTACGGATACGGGGAGGGTGCGGTGAGGTCGGGCATGCCCTCCTACGGGCGGGTCTTGGAAAAAAACCAAACATATCCAACAACACCATCAACAAACAATCAAAAGAGCACGACAAATCGTCACCAAACTCCTTGTTTAAACTGTTTTTTGATCTTCCTCCCGTAGAGGGGTATGCCCGACTTGAGGGGCCGAACTCGATACACCAAGGCTTTTCCAGCCCCGCACTGAGATTTGCCCAGGAGAGCGGATCCTGGTGTATACGGGATCCTGGTGACATGTTTCGCTGTTTCCCTGGGAACACGGGGAAAAAGTATACACCACACCACCCCATCGTCTCCGACCCCCAAAAAGGCTTGGGATTGAAAAACAGCCCGCCGCTGGCAATGTATATGCCCCAGATCCCGACAATGTCCACTAACAAATGCCGTCCAAATTCGGCAGCGGCCACTGTTGGGCAGGCGGCGTTGCGTCTCAAATGGGCAACGCCCCTGGCAACACCGACAACGATCCCCGTCCAAACTGGACAGCAATTGCTGTCGGTTGTCGTCTCCATTCTTTCCGTGCCCCTTTCGATCGACCCGGGCACCGCGGCCGCCGTGAGGTTGCCGGCGAGGACGTCTCCAGACGCCTCGTGGCGACGCGTGCCATCACTCGCCTGCTAGTCGGGGTCAGACTTCTGGGGGTCAGAGTCAGCGAAAGGCAAGCAGAGGAACAACTTGTGGGACAGATGCTGGCCTGGGCGGAGAACGCCCCAAAGGAGCTGCCAGGGCAAAGCAAAAGGCAGCATGCCTCTCGAGACAAGTGCGGCCCCGAACAGGGGCAAGACTAGAGTTAAGTCGGGCTTGTCCCCCTACAGGGGGGGTTTTCGACGAAAAATAAAAAATACCCCCAAAATAAAAAATAGTCCAACAATAGTTTGGGGACTATTTTTTGAGTATTTCTAAATCTTTTTGGGGTAGTTTTGGGTTTATGTTCATCTTGCATCGAAAATCCCCCTCTGTAGGGGGACACGCCCGACTTCAACCTAGAGGTCCCCAAAAGGCTGACCACCGCTGCCAGGCGAAGGACACGAGGGCCCGGCGCGAGGGGGGCGGCCTCCTGCACCCGAGCCTCCGCGCGCCGTGGGACGACACGCGGCGGGAAACGAAACGTGGCGATCTTCGGCCTCCGGGGGCCCTCGCGGGGCCCTCGAGGAGGACCTCCTCCTCCTCCATCCCTCCTCCTCCATCCCTCCTCCTCCTCCTCCTCCTCCTCCTCCTCCTCCTCCTCCTCCCCCTCCTGAAGGAGGACTCGAAAGGTCGGCGGCTCTGCACGCCCGACACGGGCACGGAAAGCATGGGCACGATGCCCAACAGCAGTTCCTGCTCATTTCGAGCAGGACTCGCTGTCCGCGCCGCCGCGGCCTGTGTCCATTGGAGACAGAAGGCCGCCCGCCCAACAGCGGCCGCTGTTGGTTTGGGACAACGTTTGTGGTTGGGCATTGTACCCATTCTTTCCGTACGTATTTCGGGCGTCCAAAAAGACCGTCCGAAAACGACTCGAGCCGAAAAGCCGGCCGCCGGTAGGAGGCCCAGACATCTGGGAAACCGCGTTCCGACAAGCATCACGACGTCGGATGTCCGGGAAGAATGCAGGGGAACTGCTAAGGAGGCAGGGGCCTTCGCAGAACCCCCCCACCCCCCCTCCCCCGGCTTTCGAGAAGCCCTCGCAGACTCCTCGGGGCCCTTTTAAGAAGGCCCCTGTCTTTCGCAGTGGACATATACGGTCAGACATCTTGCTATAAGATATGCTTGGGTACATTACGGCTGGACCTAGGACATAATCACATTCTTCAAGAACGTGGAACCCTCCGCCTACCAAACTGAAGAAACCCCGAGGATACCCCCTCATGATGCACACGAGCATCCAACAAACACAGAAAAACACGAGGGCACCCTCCCCGAACCGACTTCGATCTGAGACCACGGTCCGACCGTATTCGGCCATCTTGAACGGCCCCAAGATGTCCCATAGCTTCTGTGGGTCCCAGGGGCCATCGGGGGACAAGACATTTCCGTGGGCCACCCTCGGGCAGGCCGACCTCTTATCTGATACACCTATTGTACGGACCCCCCCCCGCCTTCTCAATGGAAGGCCTCCCTCCTCGGGCTACAGTCAACCGTGTAATAAGGACGCGCGATAAGGATGCAAGGGCCTTGGAAGCTCATGGCGAGACTTTGGGAGCAGGGCGCGGCCAGCGAAAGCGGCGAAGGATGGGCGGAAGGGGAAGGATGCAAAGGTAACCTTCGAAAGCCGCTCATCCTCATTATGCGGGTAGACTGTACTCCTGTGCGCGACGTTACCATGACGAAAACGGTTCCTGTGTGAAATGGGCCCATCTCACTCGGGACCCGCTTTCTTCACGGCGACGATGTCAAGCCTCGCGCTGCGAGGCAGAGAAGTCGGATTGCTCCGAGGGCTGGTTCCTCCGCCCAGAGGGGCCAAACAGCGGCACAGGGACTTTCGACTTCGGTAGGAGGGCGCCAACTATACACCTACACCGATCCTGGCCAGGCGAATCCTGGGCCCAGGATCGGTACGTCCTCCTCGCTCGGGCAGGAAGGCACGTACTCCGATCCTGGGCTCAGGATCGGCATGGCCAGGATCAGTGTCATTATGTGTGCAGCTGGTGCCCTCCGACTCGGAAGTCCGCGCGGATGCTTCGAGCCGTCGCCAGGCCCACCCTTCCCACACCCCCTCCGCGGAGCGTGCCGGGGGCGGGAAGGGGGAGCCAGCGCCGACCCAAGAAGTCCAGGAGAACCCAAGGGCGTTGAACGTCCATGCCCTGGGCATCGGCGCTGTTAAAACCAGCAGCAGCGCAAAAGAACACCACCGAAGCTCTGGATATCATCTCTGTGCGCGAGTGTCAACGTCTCGACCCGGATCGATCTGGGAGGGCGTGTTGGGATTGTCGACCCAGATCGATCCGTGAGGGCCCGAGGCCCGAAACTGGGGCAGAAATGCCATAAGCATGAACTCTTGGCGCTCCGCGCAGATTTCTTGGATCCGCGCCGGACCCCCCTCCCTGCCGCGCGAGCGCGCCAGGGGGCGGCCGCTGGGGGGGGCCCACCGCAGATCCAAGACATCCGCGCGGAGCGCCAAAAGTTTATGCTTGCGGCGTTTGTTCTACTTCGAATTGTGACAGAATCGGGTACGACGTAAGACCCGGGTACGGGGGACTCGGGTTGGCCTGACGGGGCCACCATAAAAATGGCGAGATTCAATCTGAAATCTGAGACGCGAACTCCCGCTGCAAAAATCCAAGGAAAACTGCACCGTCGAAATCCAGGACGCGCTCGTCCGCCGCTTGTGTCCCTCTGTCTGCTGCGCAGAGCTGCCGCCGGCGGAGGTGCCGCCCGCGAGGGCGGCCGACGCGTTCGCCGTCGACATTACGGGCGAGCTTGCGGCCCAAGCGGCGGAGGCGCTCGCCGCCCGGCCCTGCGCCGCCTGCGCGGCTGTGGCGTTGCTCCCCGCCGCCTGCCGGCTGGAGGCAGCTGCGGCCGCCCTGGCGGTCTCGTTCTCCTCTCGGCGGCGAGCGAGGGGGGGAAGTGAGAAGGAGAAGGCCTTCTCAGAGGGTTCGGAGGTCCCCCGGCCTTCGGAGAAGTCGTCTGAGTCTTCCCCGAAAACAAGAAGCTGCTCCAGAAGGTGCGAGGGTTTCTGGTGTCAATCTAACCCCAGTTATACCGAATTTTGTGTATATATTCTTGTGTATTAGCACAGCTCAGCAGTTTCAACGAAGCATGTCGTGTTGCATGCAGTTGATTCACGTGTGTCTGTACCGTTGCCGTTTGATGTTCAGGGGCCCCTGAGTCAGAAAAAAAAAGGTTGCGTACCTTACGAGCTGATACGATTACCCAGATAATCTGTTCTATCGAACACATCCCGAGGAGACTTCGTTTGTCGGGAGCGGCAAAGAGGGGGGCGTCCAAGAGGGGGGGGTGCAAATCATGGCCGGCGACATGTGCGCGGCCCAGCGGGGGGGCCAGGCACGTAATGAAATAAGAAGGGGCGCCATGAAATCTGGGGAGATATCATGGCCCCCGCCTATGATAATCCCCCCCCCCCCTAGTCATCCCCCCCCCCCTTTTCCGCCCCCGACGTGTGCTGCCATCGGTTGAGATTGGGAGCGCAACCGGAGATCCACTTGCTCCGGGAGGGGGGAGGGGGGAGGAGGAGGAGGAGGAGGAGGAGGAGGAGGAGGAGGAGGAGGAGGAGGAGGAGGAGGAGGAGGAGGAGGAGGGAGGAGGAGGAGGAGGGAGGAGGGAGGCCCCGTCGCCGCCATGCCAGCCGGCGCGCCTCGCGCGCCGACCCCGGCCAATTATCCGCCGCCGGGCGGCCCGCCTCGCGCGCTCTTCGGCCGCCGCCGCCGCTCCCGCCGAGGCCGGGGCGCGGAGGGGGGGCGCCTCCCGCCAAGCAGCGCGGGCGCGGACGAGGCCAACTGCACGGATGGGGCTGGCTGGCAAGGACAGTGGACCTGACAGGAGGGCTTTTTCCTGCGGGTCAGGCCCGTCGGGCATGGGGCGGGGGGCGCCTCCCGCCAGGCAGCGCGGGCGCGGACGAGGCCAACTGCACGCGACGAGGACTCGTCGTCGTCGCGGAGGGGCCCTGGAGTCCAGAGGATGGGCCTCGTCGTCCTCGTCGCCGTCGCGGAGGGGGGGCGCCTCCCGCCAGGCCAACTGCACGGATAGGGCCGGCTGGCTAGGATAGTGGACCTGACAGGAGGGCTTTTTCCTGCGGGTCAGGCCCGTCGGGCATGGGGCCTGCTCGGCCCTCGTGCGCGAGGGCCCCGTGCGCAGGCGTAGCGAGGCGAACCGCGGCGGGGCGCTGACGCCCCACGGCCGATGGGGGAAGGAGAAAAAAGAGAGCTTCACCTGGGACGGGGGAGGACGAGGCTTGGACGCTGGCTTGTCCAAGACGGCGCCGAGCTACGAGCTGCTGAGGACCGACGGCTGTCGAGTCTTTCGGCGCAAGCTGGAGGTCTTCGAGCGGTGCTGCAGGAAGCGCGGCAACACCGCGGTCAGCGAGGGGGCGTTCTTGGTCATGACCTCGCTGCCAAAGGAGGCCGCGGAGGCTACGGAGGACATCGACCTGGATTTACTAGAGACGGAAGAGGCTTTCAGGCCATTGTTCCAGGTGTTGGACGAAAACTACGACAGACCGAGCTGCCAGCCACCCGTGATGATCTCTTCTTCGGCAAGTTCGCTCGCCAAGAGAAGGAGACGACGATGCTGTACTGGCTTCGCCGCAAGAGAAAGCTCAGGAAGATCAAGGAGGTCGGGATGGAGATCCCAGACATGCTGGCTGGCTGGCACCTCCTCACACGAGCAGCTGTCCTGCCGTCGAGCGCCGCACAGGTTCGCAGTCAATGCGTGGACGGCATCTGCTGGACGAAAGTGAGGAAAGCACTGCTCGACACATACGGAGCCGAAACTATGCCCGACTAGTGCGACGTGAAACGACTAGAGAAGATGCTGGCCGGACAGAGTCTGAAGGACGACGTGAACTACACGAACGATTACGAGTGGGAACGAGGTCTGTGCTACGAGGACTCGTACCTGGAAGAGGAAGAGTACGAGGACGACGAAGAGCATGACTACGACGAGCATGAGGAGGAGGCCGACGTCGCGGATGAGCTGCCGCAGGAGGTCGAAGAGGCCCAAGTGGCGTGCGACGAGGCCTACCTCAGCTTCGCGGGCGCGAAGAAATGTGTGGCAGAGATCGCCAAAGCCCGCAGACTCTACCCGATCGTCGCCCTCGCCCCCGAGAACAAGTACCAGCGCGACAGCCGCGCAGGACCCACGCGAGCGACGAGACCAAGAACTGGCAAAAGCAAAAGACGCGGCAAAGGATTTGGCCCACCACGACGCGAAGCTGTCTGGCCTCGGAAGGGAGCGTTCGGCAAGGGTGCGCCATCGTCGCCAGCAAGCTCGACTGCATCGGGTGCTACCCAGCAGCATGGCCGCCCGAGGTTCACGCGCTTCAGGCACGGTGGCTTCACTACGCCCGAAGACGAGGCACGCACGGTGGATGTTGGGACGCTGGACTACGCCAGCTCGACCGAGGAGGTTTTCCTGCTTACCTTAGGCAACGGCATCAGCGATGGAGGTGCCACGCAACCCGTCATGGGCGACAGGGTGTGGACGCAGCTGGGGAAGCTATTTTGTTCGACGCAGTTGTTACATGAGGTCGAGTACGGCACGAAAGATCGACGCCTCCAATTTGGAGACGGCGAGACACTGGAGGCGAAGCCAGCGGTGACGCTGACGGTGTGGCCGTTCGACGTCAAAAAGCAGATCGCGATCCATCTCGAGGGTTGGGCGCCGCTGCTGATCGCGCGACCCTGCATGGACGAGTGGGGCTTGATTCAGGACTACAGAGATGGAGTGTTCACGATGAAGGATCTCCCCGACAAGGGGTGGAAGAAGTCCGAGCGTGACGAGAAGGGTCATTTCATCATAGACCGGTTGGGTGGAGCTGAGCGCGACGCCGACGATGCGAACGCCGACGCTGAAGAAGATTCGGTCAAGGGCGACGCAGGCGACGACGGGGGCTCGTCGGCGCCTGACCCCGGCGCCTTTTACCTCGAGACGCGGTATACGAGGTCGGCAGCGACGCCGAGACCCGGGCCACGGAGGAGGTCGCAAGCCCGGGGCGCCACCGGACGGACGCGGACACCTACGCCGACCTGGCCCTGGCGCTGGAGCAAGCGGCGTCCGACATGAAGGACGCGCTGCGCGGGCCGCGCAAGCGAATGGTCTGGGAGGTCTTCGTGGACCGGGGGGCCTTGTCGCAGGAGCTGCTCGAGTTTCCGCAGGTCGAGGTGCTCCATTTCAGGATCGAGGGCGGCGGGGACTTCTCCAAGCCAGCCGTGGTCCGCGACTTCCTGAACAAGATCGAAAACGACAAGCCCGACGATATCTTCTTCGCTACACCGCGCAAGCACTGGTGCTCTTGGCAGCGCGTGAACGAAAATATCTCCGAGGAACGAGCCAAAGAAATCAATGACGCCAGGGGGCGAGATGAGCGGACGTTTCTCAAGATGATTCTGACGGCGTTTGTGAAGCAGCAGAATGGAAACCGACGCGCGCATGTGGAACGCCCGTGGCAGGGGTTACACTGGCTGACGAAGACGTGGGATAAGTTGTCAGGATATCGCAGCAGGCTCGACCAGTGAAGGTTAGGGGCGAAGTACAGGATCCAGAGCAAGGACATGCCCTGCCAGTAGCCCACGAGACTGCAGTCGACCGACAAGGAGTTCATTCACCACATGAACATGGCATGCGCGCGCACGGAGGACCACGTGATCCTGCGAGCCCAGCTCGCCCAGCGGGCTCAGAACTACCCGAGACCGATGGCGAGGAGGATGGCCTACCTGATCGCCTACCAGAACATGGCCGACGACATCAGCGACACCAACGCGGCCGAGGAGGTCGACAAAGACATCGACGCCATCGAGTACAACGACACGATGCAGGAGCTGATGAAGCGGTTCAACGCATCGACGGTCCGAGCGGCCAAGCGCGCACATGTATGCCTGAGCCGCCCTTCGAACGCAGGTCTGCCGGTTGCCAAGCAGCGCGCGGGTGCTCCGGCGGAGTGGACCCAGTGCGCCAGGCACTTCCAGTGCGAGACTCGCCCAGGCAGAGGCCCTGAGCGGTTCGCGTCGCAGTGCTGCCGAGGGCCAAGAGGTTCAACGAGGTGGTCTGCACCGACGTGCACTACACCTACATCAGGTGGAAGAAGGAGAAGAAGATCCTGGCCACCATGGGCTAGTCTACACGCCACGAGGTCGACTGCCCGATCTCGAAGGAGACGTTCCTGAAGGAGACGAATCTATGAGAGAAGCTCTGGATCACTTGGGCCGGCAAATCTGAGACGATGCGGATGGACAAGGGAGGCTCGCACACGGCCAAGCGCATGCACAACTGGACGAGCAAGCATAGCATCAAGCTCGACCTGATCCCGAAAGGCGCGCGCTACAGGATAAACCCGATGGGGCGGAACCGCGCGGTCATGAGGGAGCTGCTCAGCAAGCGCCATCTGCAGTTCCCCGACGACTCGCCCAAGACCGTCCTCAGGATGACCGCCAGCCAGCGGAACGCCCTGAGGAGCGCGCGCGAGTCCTCGCCCGCGGCGCTGGCGCTGGGGACGCAGCCAAAAATCCCAGGCGCCCTCTGCGACGAGGACTTCGGCCTGTCGGAGCAGGCCGCGCCGGTCGACCCCGAGAGCGAGGTGCACGAGATGGCGATCAGGGGGCGGCCGCCGCCGCAGCCTTCATCGAGGCCAACTGCTCGAGCGCCGCGCGAGCGGCGCTGCTGGCGCGCAGCAGGCCGACGAGGAGGAACTGCGAGATCGGTGAGTTGGTCTACTTCTGGCGACCCGAGCAGACGCAGGGGCTGGAGAAGGGCTACTGTCACGGCCCAGCTCTGGCGGTGGCAGCGGAGGCGAAGGTCAACGAGGACATCGCGATGCGCGCCTCGGCGGCGCGGGCGACGCACGGACGCGCGATCGACCGATGCGCCGCGGAGGAGCTTCGCCCCGACCTGCCGGGCGAGGCCCGCGAGCGAGAAGGGCGCAGCGAGGGCCCCGACAGCCCGCTCAGCACGATCGAGAAGCACAGGCGTGCGCTCAGGCGGACGAAAGGGGACCTGCAACTACTAGGACCTCGCCGAGGAGGGGCGCCTGCCCAAGTGCGACGACACGCTGGACGACATGGGCGAGCAGCATCGGACCAGCGCCCAAGCACCCATGCAGACGGGCGAGACCGACGGACCGACGGGGGCAGCTGCCGCGGCAGCTCCTGGAGATCCTCAGCCGGCGACGCCCGGCGAGGACGAGGGCGGCGAACCAGCCGCGGCCAGTGCCGGCGCGTCCGGCAGCGCCGCGCAGGAGCCCGACAGGGTCCACATCGCGGCGGTGGCTAAGAGGAGCGTCGAGGAGGCTGAGAAGCTGGACGGCGCCCCGCTGGCCAAGCGCGCCCGCCTGTCGCGGGCGAAGTTCGCCCCGCCGAGCGAGGAGGCTGCGCTCGCCGATGAGGTGGGCGACGAGATGCTGCTGCTGGAGGAGTTCACCGAGGCGGTCTACATGCTGGCCTTCAAGAGGAACGCCCCCGCCATCGTGGAGGTGGGCTGACGCCCGAGAAAAAGGCCAGTTTTACGCGACGAAGCTGGAGGCACTCGAGGTTTTCAGTTGCAACCACGACTGGGGGCCCATCAACGAGGCGGATGTGGATCCCAGAGCCTGCTGCCCTCTACGCTCCCAACTCAAGCGGGGGATGAAGGACGGGCAGAAGGTGGCCAAAGCGCGTGTACTCTGCTGAGGGTTCAAGCACCGCGACGTCGCCGAGTGCCAGCTCGACAAGGAGGCACCGTCCCAGAAGGCCTGGCCGACGCGCGGTCATGCTCTGGGCGTCTCTGGGGGAGTGGAGGTCGTCCAGCGCGGATGCGAAGTCCGCATTCCTGCAGGCTGAGGACGCTGGCGCACGCGGCCTCAAGCTGCACGCGAGCCCGACGAAAAAGATGAGAGAGAGGCTCTCGCGCCAAGTCGGCCTGCAACCTTGACAGCTGCTCAAGATGATCAAGCCGCGCCCTGGCGACCCGCAGTCGCCCAAGCTCTGGCGCTACCGCTCCGACGAAATCACGGAGGATATCGGGCTCAGGAACCGCGAGCTCGAGGATTGCCTGCCGCCGCCCCTGCGCCCGGCGAGGGTCGAGGACGACCCGTTCGACGCGCGCAGCTTCGAGGGCCAGACCTGCGCGGTGGACGGCCTGATCGGCAAGCGCGCGGGCGACTTCATCGGACGCGGCGAGGGCGCGACGAACGAGCAAGACCACTGCGCGAAGCTTGACGACGCCGAATGCTTCCAGGCGCGGCTAGGGGCTCTCGACGGGAAGTTCAAGTTCGTCAAGTGGCATGGGAGCTCGGGCCTAGCCTGGTCTTCGCTGGAGGCGAAGTGGAGCAGGCCCTGAGCACCTGCAGCGCGACCCTGAAGTTAGAGAAGCACCTGCGCGCGGTGAAACCCATCACCATCGAGAAGCATCGGAGAGCTGACCCCGCGAGCGGGCTGTCGCCGAAGGAGCTTGGAACTTCAGGGCCTCGAATGGACAGTTGAAGTGGCCGGCAGCCCAAGGAGAGATCATAGCAGCGCCTACTGTGTCATTCCGCGCTTCGGTGACAGGCCGAGCCACTGTGCAGGACCTACTGGATGCGAACAAGAATCTGCGCTTTCTGAAGACCAACGCGGACGTAGGGCTGCACTTCCGATTCGACAAGGCCTGGAGCAACCTGCGGGTTGTCAGCTACCCCGACGCGAGCTGGGCGAACCGACATGACGGCAAATCGCAAGGAGGTCACGCGATCTTCATCGGACCCGCGGACGAGCTCAACGCTGGCACCCCGGCGCCTCGCGTGGCCATGGAGTGGGCCTTGAAGGAGTTGCAGCGTCTGTGCAGGAGCTCGCTGTCGGCGGAGGCCCAGGCAGCAGCTTTGGGCGCGGACTCACTGATGCGGGTGAAGGTCCACCTGGCGTGGAGCGCGCGACCCAACCTGGAGCTCGAAGAATCGACGGTGTACCTGGGAGAGTCGCCGTTCATCCCGGACGCGAAATGCTTCTACGACGCGTCGCGCTCAGCGACGGCAGGCCTGGGCATCGCGGAGAAGAGGACGGCCATCGAGAAGAAGATCGTGAACGAGCAGATGACGGAGATAGGGGCCACCTGGAAGTGGCTGAACACGCAGCAGCAGATGGCGGACAGACTTACCAAGCTCTCGGCCCGCAAGATGATGATGGCAGACGTGCTTCGCCGTGGAGTGCATGCGTTGCGCTACGACCCCGACGTCGCGGCTGGCAAAAAGCCCTCCAAGAGAGCAGCGGAACAACGCGAGAAGGAGCTGGACAACGCTGGCGAGGCACTGCACGACGCCCTCGAGGCAACGCCCGTGATAGAGGCGAAGGAGAAAGCGAAGGCCATGGGCAAGCGCCATTTTGGCGCAAGTGGAGCGAAGCTGGCTGCGGCACTGGCTAGCGCGGGCGGCAGTGCGGCAGGTCAGGTGGTGTAGTATACGCCCATCGGCGCCGAGCTGTTCAACCCACCGACGCCAGCCGACTGAAACGACCTGACCACGAAGATGATGGTTTTCGGCTTCGTGATGGGACTAGATGCGCGAGCCCGAGACAAGCGAGTAAGGTCAAGACGACCGTGACTGGGACCGACCCGAAGCCGACGAAGCAGAAGAAGGTACGCAGCGTGATCGTCCAGTCGCAGTGTCGCTACAACCTGGATCTCAGCACGCCGAGGTTCCAGCCGCTGCCCGAGTACGCTCATGGAGTATTCGTGACAGGATGAAAGGGGTACCTAGAGGCCGTTTGGGCAGGAAGCCAGTTTGGCACGATGGTCGGCAACGCCGACAGGAGGATGACGGCCGACAGGGCCGACGTGAGCAAGTTAGTTGGTCGGCGGAGGCCGACTCGTGACTGAGTGCTCCGAGGAGAACACCTTGTGCATGCTTTTGCCCGGCGAGATCGACCGATCGCCAGGTGTGCTGAGAAATGAAAGGGATATTGATGTCGCTGTCGCGACCGCCGGTGAGTTTCACATTCGAATCAGACTGGTTTCTCCTGGGGGCCCCTTGTGTTGGTGACGCTTTATCTGTTTTGATGTCGGCCCTTTTCCCGTTTTGAATTTCAAGGCTTCGTTTCCTGGTAAAGTTTCGGGGAGCCCTGATCTTGGCAATGTGCGATGTTGAATGAATATGTGCTAACTCACTATTCCGCCCGTGTCTATTTAACTCCGAGTATACCGACATGTGTGCATTCTTGTGTATTAGCACAGCTCAGCAGCTTCAGCAAAGCATGATGTGTTGCAAGCAGTTGTTTCACGTGTGTCTGTACCATTGCCATTTGATGTTCAGGGGCCCCTGAGTCAGGTAAATGGTAAAAGGTAAAAGGTTGCGTATCTTACGATCTGGTACGATTATCCAGATAATCCGTTCTATCGAATACATCCCGAGGAGACTTCGTGTGCTGCCATCGGTTGATATCTGAGAAGTCCCGCCGCCTTCTGAGAAGGTCTTTCCCCTCGCTCGCCGCCGATCCTCGGCGAGCTCGAACTGCCTCCGGTCGCCCAGGCAGGGCCTTCGGGAGTCTTGAAAACGCGGGGGGCGTTGCTTGTCACGCTCTCAGCTCGCCATTGCTCGGACGACCGTGCCCCCGTGCATGTTTCGACGCCGGGCGTGCATGGTTCGCCAGATGATCCGAGATGCTCCTCGATGGCCCGCGACAAACAGCACACGTCCGAACGATGCCAAATTGACTCGTGGGCTTCTGGCCAACCGAAACGGAAAAAACAAACAACAACGGCAGCCCAAAACATGAAGACAACACCGAGACGACAAGGCAGAGCGCAACCGAACCGGAAAAACTGCGCAAACGAACCTCCCCAAACGGGACTTAAAAAATCACGGGCCCCGAAACGGACCGTATTCGTCAACAGCAACAGAAAACGACACGCCCCGAGCGATCGCGACAGCATCTAGGTGCGGGGCGCGCTCGACAGCAGGGCCACGAAGGCGTGCACCAGCAGAGCCCGCCGCGCCATCGACACGCGGCCTGTGAGCGCCTTGCACGGAGCCGTGTTCGTCAGAGGTGGACAAGCTGGAGTTAGGCCGGGCATGTCCTCCCACAGGCAGACGTTGAAACAAAAATGAAAAATAACAAAACAAAGCAAAGATAGCTCAAAGAGCACGAACAATCGCCACCACACTTTTCTTACGGTTCTTGAATTACACCAAAGGAAAATCCCAATCAGTAGATGTTTGAACTAATTAATAATATGGGAATTGAGATCGACTGTGAGAGCGATACTGTAGTCGATAGCGAGGACGGTTGTACGAGGTAGATGGTGAGACCGAGACTGAAGTCAATGCAATGAGATCGATAATGAGATCGATCGTGAGATCGCCCGTGCGATCTATAATGAAATCGCTTGCGAGATCGATAATGAGATCGATTGTGAGATCGATTGAGATCGATAGAAAGATGGGTAATGAGATCGATGGTGAGACCGATCGATCAGAAAATCGGCCGGGAACCTGGGAACCCCGCCGCCCACCAAAATCGGCCCGGAACCCGGAAACGGGAACCCGGGAACCCAGAACCGAGGGAACCCCGGCCGCCGACCGAAAGCGGCCCGGACTTGTTGCCAAACCCTTCAATCTCCGCTAAAACCCCTTCACTGGCCATCGCTCGGACGTCCATTCACCGTGTTTTTTTCGGTTTCGTGCGTGGCTTTTTCGCCAAATGATCAATGATGCTCCTCCATGGCCCTCGCCGAGAAAGAAATGCACACGTCCGAGCGATGCCAGGTTCAGTGCAAGCGCTGATTGGGGAACATTCCTCCTGCATCGAGGGACATGCCCGACGCAATGTTGGAGAGGGGGCAGGGCGCGGCAGGCCGCGCTCCCCCCCGCGGGCGCTGGCCCCTCTGAGCCAGGGGCGGCCGGCGGGGGGACTTCCCGCTGCATCCTTCTGCCCTCCCTCCCCCTGGGGTGCGAGGGTGAGCATCTCGACCACTCCAGATTTCGTAGTAAAGGGAGGGGGGTCTCATTTCGGGGGGGGGTCTCTTCCAGGCTATCTTGGAGGGCCTGGGGGGGTCTGGGGAGGATGTTTTGGAGGGTTCTCCCAAGGCGGAGGTCTGAAATGGCTTGTCTTGGAGGGTCCAGACCCCCTCCCTTTTATTACGAAATCTGGAGTGCACGCAAGAGTGACCCTGGGTAAGAGCGACCTCTGGTGCGCGGCTTCTTGGGGACCGCGGGGGGGCCAAGCACAAGCGCGCAAGACGCAACTATCGCATCGCGTTCGGCGATCGGGGGACCCCACTGGGCCCGCACCAGAGGTCACTCCGGCGAAAGGTCCCTCACTCTTACGTCTAGTCGAGCATCGCCCGGCGCAGCCGGAGTAGGTCCCGGGGATGGGGCAAGCAGCGTTCCACCGTGGAGCAGGTTGCCCCAGCAAGGGCACCATGAATCCTGCCAGCCCTCCGGACCGCAGGTGGTCTAGCGAGATTCTTCTGTCCTCTTCCAAAGCATATCTTCCCCTCGGTGAGGTGTGCCTCCCCCCTCCCTGAAAGTTTGTTGGGACCCCCGCGATGTGTCAGGGAGTCATTATTGGCCCAAGATGGCTCAAAGAACCTCCGATGCTCCAAGATGGCTCAAGATAGCCAGCAATGGTTCAAGATAGCTTCGGACATTACTCAAAGAGGTCCAAGAGGTCCCGAGAGAGCCACAAGACGGTTCCAAGTGCTCTCAGAGCCCCCCGAAGGCCCTCGCAAGACGCCGCAATCTTTTGAAGTCCAGTGGACAGCCATGATCTTCGCCTTCTCGCCTTCTCGCTTCCGACAGGTGTCGGAGGCCTCGAGATGGCCCCAAAATGAACCAAGAGAGCCCCAAGAAGGGCGCAAGAGACCCCCAGGACATCCGCAAGAGCTCCCTAAGAGCGTGCCTCAAAACGAGATGTTGAGGACTCTTGGTGGGGGGCCTGAGCTGAGGAACCCTCATCTTTTGGTCGACGCCCTTCAAAAGGTCCCCAAGAGGCCTCCACGGCTCCCAAGAGGCCCCAAAGAAAGCCCCAAGAGCGCCCCAAGACCAATGAAAGCAGGCCCAGGAGGACCCCACGACCCACCAAAATAGCCCCAGGAGAGCCCCGCGAGAGCCTCAAGAGCACCGCAACAAGGCCCTGGAAAGCCGCAGCGGTGGCTGCCGGAGTCCTCGTCCGCTTCCTCCGCTTCTTGCTCCTCGTCCTCCTTCTCCTCCTCCTCATCCTAGTCCTCCTCGTCGCCCCCTTCCTCCTGCTCGCCTTCCTCCTCGTCCTCCTCCTCGTCCTCGTCCTCCCGGCTTGCTCAACCTGCTCGCAAGCTTTCTGTCTGGGCATCGTTTTTTGGATGGGCTGGTAGGACACGCAAGGCGCAAACAATTACGTAGTACCAGAAGTGTGCTGTGTTTAAACAATATCCCTGGTAGTAGCAGCAGTATAAGTAATAGTCGTCCTCGTAGTAGCAGTAGTCGTAGTAGTAGTAGTAGTAGTAGTAGTAGTAGTAGTAGTAGTAGTAGTAGTAGTTGTTGTCGTAGTGGTAGTAGAAGAAGAAACAGTATAAGTA